GCCTCAGTCTCCCCACCTGTAAAATAGGGAGATCCAGGACTTCCCTGGTGGTCCAGTGGTTAAGACTCCGTGTTCCCAATGCAGGGGGCACGGGTTCCATCCCTGGTCGGGGAACTAAGAGCCCACATGCTACACAGCGCAGCCAAAATAAAAATAAAATAAAACAAAACAAAAAATAAACTAAAATAGGGAGATCCTTGCAGAATGGTAGGCCTGTAACACGGACTTCACTCTGATTATGACTGCAGTTGTCGACCCAGGGATGCACACTAGAAGCCTGAGAGCAAGAACGCCTTGCCCGAGGGGGGTCGTCCAACTTCGGTGTGCCCCAGGGAGCTCGCCACATGCAGATTCCAAGGCCCCGCCCCACAGAGTCTGACTCAGCACCTGGGGTCCAGTTTGGGAATCTGCATAAGTAAGAGCCCAGGTAACTCCCACTGGGGAAACACTGCATCCAGCCCAAGGTCAAAGACACCCTGGAAAGCAGGTCTGCCCTGTGGTCACGCAGAAACAGGGCCAGATGTGGCTGGGGTCAACTGCCCATTTATGACCCCAGGTGGACTTTGGCAGCAGTTAGGGCTAGGAAGAAGTGGCATGCCACAGATACCTTTGGAATCTCCAGTTTGCAGAAACAGAGAATAATGACTTGTCACCTTTGTGCTTTCCTCCCTGAGGGACAGAGTCCTGGCAGTTGACTTAGGTCAGGATCTGGTTCCAACATATCTGAACCACGTGCCCCCAGGCCCACAACTGACCGCTCTGCATCTGTAAAATGGGAACAACGACAGCACTATCAGGATTCCTCGCACCGGCTCGTGGCCATCACTGGCTCATGGCCATCACTGAGGCTATCAGGAGCCGAGGCACCGAGCAAGGATCCCGCAGTAGGATTAGGGAGGTACTTCTTAAGTCCTGCACATTAGGGGTCCCTTTCCTTTCTCAATCACAGGAAGGCAGGGCCTAGGACAAACAAAAGCATCTAAGTGGAGACCACACACATCCTGGCCATACATCTCAGGGAAAAATAAGTGGTGGGTCCAGGCATGGAGCCTATGTTTTTAAGGCACCCTCATGTTAATCAGAGTCTCAATCTTAATTCTGTTTTCATTTGCCTAACCACAACCTGGCCTCCAGGCTCTTCCTCTCTGGCCGGGATTCTAAGTGAGAGGAGAAGCAAGGCCATGGGGTGGGGGAGATGGAGAGCCGTACTCCAGCTGGCTGATCTCTTGTCTCAGCCTGGTCCCTGCCTACTGAAGTAATTCAACAGTGTCACTGATTCAGATGCAAGAAGTCATCCCTCGCACATCATAGCTTCATTGCAAAATCATTTGGGGAATTTTGGGTGAACCCCAAATCTTTCTCTTTCTCAAAGATATTAAAGTGATTTCTGCTCCACCCCAGCTCTATGGAAAATGCAGGCAGACACATTGTCCTACTGTAGCCCGAGAGCTCTCCTAGACTGCACTATCATCCCTGGGCCCTGTGTCAGGCACAGGTATGGCAGGTATGGCCTGAAGGAGCGAGTGAGCCTGCTGTCCTGCTCAGCGTTGTGTGGGGAATCTCTCCCTGCTGAACACACAGCCCCACCTCCCTGTTACCTGCAGCCCCCTTTCTCTCACATGGAGGGATGCCCCTTCAATCTCCTCCCATGGGTCCCCGGCCTCTCTACTTTGTAGCAGCTGGAGAAACACTCAAGTCCCAGTGGAAGCCAGGGGTCACCTGCTGCAGAGCAAGGGAAAGTGTGAAGCTCCAAATAGCCCAGGGCTGGAGGCTGTTTCAGGGAAGGATCCCCGGGTGGCTGGGAGAGCAAGGAGAGTAGAGAAAACTGCAGCCTCAGGGCCGGCTGGGAGTCAGTGCCCACCAGTTCCGCTCCCAGGAGGCCCCTGGGGAAAGGAACAGTGTGCGGAAGGGAAAGCTCCCTTGTGGACTGGTGGCCCAGCTGCTTCACAGCAGGGACTCCAGGCCGTCGGTTCCTTAGAGTCGGGGGGCCTGGGTCTCATTTCTCCTTAGAAGCCCCAAACCCTTAGTGGGGTCTGGTCCAGCAGGGCAGGGATTTAATATCTGTTGAATTAAATTGAGCTAGACTGAAGTTGAGGGGGAAACAACACTGTATGAGTTTCCTGGGGCTGCTATAACAAACAACCACAAACTTGGTGGTTTAACACAACAGAAATGTATTCTTTTACAGTTCTGGAGGCCAGAAGTTCAAAGTCAAGGTGTCCGCTGGGCCATGCTCCCTCTGAAGGCTCCAGGGGAGGGTCCTTCCTGCCTCTTCCAGCTCCTGGTGTCTCCAGGTGTCCCTTGGCTCCAAAGCTCTGCCTCTGTCTTTGCATGGCTTTTTCTTCCCAAGTCTCTAGGTTTTTTCTGTCTCTTACAAGGACACTCTCCTTTAGGGCCCACTCTAGTCCATGATCTCATCTTGATTCTCATCTGAATTATAATTACAAAGACCCTATTTCCAAATAAAGTCACAGTCTGAGGTTCTGGGTGAACAAGACCTTTTGGGGGACAACCTTCACCCCAGTGCATACATTAAATAGCAAACAGCACAGGCAGAAGTGGCAAGAAGGCGGCTGGGAGCTGGGAGACCTTGATCCAGTTACTTGTGGCTCAGTTGTCCCAGCTGTCAAGGGCTCCCATTAGCATCTCTGACCTCCACTGCCAGCTGGGAGGCGGCGTTCCCGGCTGCTTTTCACAAATGAGGAAACTGAGGCTCAGAGGGGTTGAATGTACGGCCAAGGTCACACAGCCCGCTAGAGCTGGGAGTAGAATCCAGGTCGACTGGCACTGGAGCTTAGGGATTTCACAGCCATGAAGGGCTGGGTTTGAGGAAAACCCCAGCACCGATAAGGTCCCAAGATCTTTCCATTCCAAGGAACTTAATTTATCAAAAGAAAGCAAAGGTGAACTGTTTTGGTTTTCATGTTCCTTCACTTCCTCATGTCGTAGATTTTGGAATGCGGCCACTTCCCTGGAATCACTTGAGAAAGTGAGGTCGAAGAGAACAAGGATTAAATTATTCGTAGAAATTAGTCTGTACTGGGGAAGTAAGGTGCAGAGACCCAGCTGGACCCAGCCTTGCCCCTGTTGCCTATGAGGACCTAATACACTTGGGAAGCTACACTGACCTTCACCTGGATGCCTGCTCCTTCCCACAATGGCCAAGAACACCAGGTGGTTCAGGGAAGATTTGTCCCAGGAGTGGAGGGGGTGGGGGATTGGGAAGCAAATCTTCTCCCCCCACCCCAAGTATGGCTCTGCAATGTCTGTTCAACTTTGAAGTCCAGAGGTTGCAGAACGTCTTGTTAGGAAGTTTCTAGCACCTTGGACCATGTCCTGAAGAAATGCATTCATTTATTCAATCAATCTCTATTGTGTACTGCCCAGGACCAGGTTGTCAGCTCCAAAGGCGGGAGGGCAGGCTTTGTTCGCAAGGGGCCCCCCCAGGGCTCAGAACCTGGCGTCCACCAGGCCCCCGTTGAGCTGCTGAACAAATGCAGGAACAGGCCCCGTCCTAGACCACAGGACGTCAGAAGAAAGGTTCTACTGAACGGGCAGGGAAGAATGAATTTCTTGCTCCCCGGCCTCGGTTTCCTTATCTGGAGATGGCGGACCGCTGCCTGCAGCTGTAGGGTTATAGGTGGCTGGGCCACCAGCTTCTCCCCTGCCTGTCCCCAACCTAGAATCCGTGCCAATGCAAACGCTCCCTGACCCTGGCCGGTGTGCTTGCATCCTCTCGGTTCCCAGAGCTGAGGAAGTAACCCGCTGAAAGGAGGCCGACTTAATGGCTCAATTTGGATGAGGTTTTCGTACAGAGCTTGTTCCCGTCACATCTCAAGGCAGGCCAGCCGCCTCAGAGGTGAGGGCGCCGGGCCTCTGTGAGCTCACGACCTTCTCACGGGCCCCGGGGGCGGTTGTCATCACCCTCATTTTCGGGGGAGGCGCCCAGGGCTCAGAGAGGCCAAGCGACTCGCCCAAGGTCACACAGCTTCGCAGAGACAGAGGGGGGATGGGGACGCGGGTCTCTGGAGCCCCGCTCCGGCGGCTTTTCGAAGACACTCGCTACCTTCCTACTGTGACGCTCAGGAATAAAACGGGAAGCCCGGACTCCCGCTTCCACCTAAAACAATGCTCCACGCAGACCTGTGTGAACAAAAGCAACCAGAAATCCGCCTCGGGTTTTCGGCCCGCCCGGCCCGCCGGCCAATTGACTCCGCCGGCCGCCGCGGGGCAGGCCGGGGCGGTTCCAACGTGATCGACAGCCCCAGGGAGGCGTGGCCGGGTCAGGGGCGAATCGGATTGGGGACCCGGAACAATCATGGGCAGAGAAGGCGCAGCCCGAGCCAATCAGCTCGGGGGGCGGGCCCGGCCGCCTGGCTGTCGTGAGAGGCGGCCTCCCCGCCCACTTGCGCCTTGTCCCGGCGCCCGTCAGCTGCGAACGCGGCGCTCGGCCCGGATCCGTCCGCGGCGCTGGGAGCAAAGGCGCGAGGCCGTGGCAAGTGCCGGCGCAGATCCCTCCGCCGCCCGCTCCCGAGCCCGCTCCGAGCGCCGCTCCCGAGCCGCCGCGGCCTCCGTCCCGGGTAACGGCCGTCGGCCCAGCGCGGCGGCGCGGCGGCATGGCCCGGGCGGCTCCGTCGGGGGGCGGCCCGCAGTGACAGACCCTGCGGCGCGGGGGGAGATGGGGGCGGCCGCCTCCCGGGCGACGACGACGACGACGAGGAGCAGCCGCCGCCGCCGCCGCGCACCGGCCGCCGCCGGGGACGGGCGCGGGCCAGGAGCCCGCCCGTGAGCGGGGGGCCCGGCCGATCGCCGCCCCCGGCCGCCCCGGCCGCCCCGGGCCCCCCCGGCGCCCCGCGCGCGCCCGCCCGCCGGCCCCTGGCGGGGGTCTCGCCCGCGCCGCGCGCCCCCGGCCCCGGCGCGGCCCTCGGCGCTCGGCCGCCCTCGCCCTCGCCCGGCCCCGGCCGCGCCCCCGGCCGCGCCCGCCCGCGCCCCCGGCCCCGGCCCCGGGCGGCGGCCCCCGGCCTCGCGTGGCGGCGCGGCGCGGGCGGCAGCATGGTGGAGAAGCCGCTGCCCGTTGCAGAGGGACGGCGTGTACCGCTGGTTCTCGGAGCTGCCGTCGCCGCAGCGCGTAGAGTTCCTCTGCGGCCTGCTGGACCTGTGCATCCCGCTCGAGCTGCGCTTCCTCGGCTCGTGCCTCGAGGACCTGGCCCGCAAGGACTACCACTCGCTGCGCGACTCGGAGATCAAGGCCAACAACCCGGCCGACCTGGGCAGCCTCACCAACCTGACAGACGAGGTGGTGCGCAGCAAACTGCTCGTGTCGCTGGCGCTGCTGGGCTCGGAGCAGCGCGAGGCGGCGGGCGTGCTCTACCGCACGCTCACGCACATCGACTCCATCATCCACAACTACGGGCTGCAGCTCAACGAGGGCCGCACGGGCGATGAGTTCCTGCTGCTCTTCACCATGGCCTCCAACCACCCGGCCTTCAGCTTCCACCAGAAGCAGGTGCTGCGCCAGGAGCTCACGCAGATCCAGAGCAGCCTGAGCGGCGGCGGCGGCGGCGGCGGCGGGGGCCCCGGGGGCAAGAGCGCGCTGCCCACATGCCCGGCCTGCCACAAGGTGCGTGCCCGCGCCCCAAGCCCCCGTCTGAACCCCAAACCTCACACCTCGCTCCCCAAGCCCCCACTGGCACCCCACATCACCGCAAACCCCTACCCGCACCCCAGGCTTCCGCCCCACCGTCTCCTCGCCACCCCAAGCTTCCACTCTGCACTTCACTCCGTGTCCCACGTCTCCCTCCTGCACTTCAGACCCCACCCTCACCTCAACCCCCTGTTCCCTCCTTGCACTCCAAACCCGCACCCCTAGACCCCGCCCGGCACCCCACGCCCCCTGGGGCCCGTCGCACCCGCCTTGCTCGGGGCCCGGGGGAGGGGGCTCCGGGACTGGGGAAGGGCGCACCGGGCAGAGTTCGCGGCCCGCCGGGCCTTCGGTACACGTCTTCCGCGGGAAGCTGGAAGCGCGATAAGGCCTTTGTCCCCTTCATCGGGCTCTTGGGCGACAGATAACCGTTACACATTGTGTCCTCTTGGTTTCTCCAAATCTGGTGTTTATTATCAGAAAAGGAAGCCGCTAGTGAGGTGGAGATGAGAAGGCGCTGTAACGATAGGAGACGTTCGCGGGGTGCTGTGTTGGGGCTCCCACGGCCTAGGTGTCCATTTCCCCTGGAGTGGTGGGGTCGGCGTCGCCCCGAGGAGGTTAGGGTCGGCGTGGGCCGCAGGCCGCCATGGGCCGCAGGCCGCCGTGTGCACGTGTGTCAGTGTGTGCGTGTACGTGAGTACACGTCTGCTTGAGTGTATGTGCATTGTGTGTATACGTGAGTGTGTGCTCACGTATATATGTGTATAGAGTGTATATGTGTATTTCTGAATGTGTACGTGTGTCTATTTATATTGTGTGTAAGAACAGGGCTGTTGTAACAGACGGAAAAGCAGGTTTGGAGCCTTCAACGCATGTGAAACAGTTATTTCTCCGTGACCCGCCTTCCTTTTTACAAACAAATCCTAGGCTGATTGAGAGTCCAACTAGGATTAGTTAAAAGATCTCCTGTCTCCAAATTAAACAGGAAGGGCAGAGTGGTCATTCAGTTAGAAATGTGAACTTTTGTCTAGATGTTTAAAAACTATGTAAACACAAAGCATTTGGGGCTCCAATGTCTTTTTAACAGCCCCCTGGGACCCTGTGCCAGAATTGTGCTCCAAGCAAAAGGATTTATCTTTGACCACGTGTGTTGTGTGATTTAGGGTTAAAACTGACTTTCTTTGGTAGTAAAAGATTGCAGTCATACCAGTAGTCTAAGTGCTTTTTGATAGTGTCTCCGCTGTCTGAAACTAAAGCTTTGTTTCTCTGGTTTACTAGTGGTGGTTTTTAAACTCTTTCAACTGTGGATTGTGGCTTTTAATGATTTCCTTTGAGACGGGGTTGTGATACCTACATTGGTTGGTTTTGGTTTTTTGGTTTTTTTTTTAGCTGCATTGGGTCTCCATTGCTGCGCGCGGGCTTCCTCTAGTTTCCGCGATCAGGGGCTACTCTTCCTTGTGGTGCGTGGGCTTCTCATTGCGGTGTCTTGTTGTGGAGCACAGGCTCTAGGCGCGCAGGCTTCAGTAGTTGTGGCACGCAGGCTCAGTAGTTGTGGCTCGCAGGCTTTAGACTGCAGGCTCAGTAGTTGTGTTGCACGGGCTTAGTTGCTCCGTGGCATGTGGGATCTTCCCGGACCAGGGCTCGAGCCCGTGTCCCCTGCATTGGCAGGCAGATTCTTAAACACTGTGCCACCAGGAAAGCCCCCCTACATTGGTTTTTAACTTGTATCTTTTTTGTGATATGAACCACCTCTGAGACTTTGGTTTCCTGTTTTAAGCGTGTGTTCAAATCCCATCCTAAAAATGTTTTTCCAGCTATGACAAAGGGAAAGCAGGGCCCTATTAAGATGTGGTTGTCCACAGGGCACTCAGTAGGCTCTGGGGTGCTGGTGTTCATGGGATTTCAGTCCCTGGTGGCCAGTTTCATGAGGTCTCAGTCCTCTGTTTGTGTTAGTAAACACTGGTAGTGTCGTATTCACCTCTTGAAGGGGATTCCTTTGTGTATACGGATGAATCACTTTATAAAAGCAGAAGATGGCAATTATTTTGGCGGGGCAGCGAGCTAAAGCTAGAACAAAAATACCTTTTTTAAGAGAGACTTTTTGTCAAGCCAGAAACCCCTTTGATGAGATGCAGGGGCTCGGAATTGACCAGCTGTGTGACCTTGGCCAGAATCCTCTCTCCTCCTGGTTTTCCCTTTTGGGGTGGAAGGCAGGTTACCTGTCTCATGGGCTCGTTTGGAGGGTTCCATGAGGTCCCATGTGAAGCGCCCAGGAGATGTTCTATGAGTGCTCTCTTGGCCTTGTCCTCTCTGGCTTTCCATAGAGGAGCGCTAACTTTTTTTTTGGCTGCAATGCTGGGCTTGTAGGATCTTAGTTCCCCGACCAGGGATGAAACCCCGGCCCCTGACAGTGGGAACGCCAAGTCTTAACCACAGGACGGCCAGAGAATTCCCTAGGAGTACTAACTTAAGCAAGGCACGTTGTCAGGGAGTGAAATATTTATGTTTTGGAGTTTTGGTGTTTTCTAAGTTGATTTTTGAATGCGTAGTTACTTGGAGCTGGCTTTTTTGTTGTTGTTCTGTTCATCCGTGGGAAATTGGAGAATTTTGCCTGATATTTAATAATGAGGTTATAATGAGGAACCTTGGGGCCATTGCTTCCATGTTTCAGAAACAATCATGGTGTCTAGTTTTTTTTTTATATATAAATTTATTTATTTTATTTTATTATTTACTTTTGGCCGCATTGGGTCTTTGTTGCTGCGCGCGGACTTTCTCTAGTTGCAGTGAGCAGGGGCTACTCTTCGTTGTGGTGCACAGGCTTCTCATTGCGGTGGCTTCTCGTTGCGGAGCATGGGCTCTAGGCACGTGGGCTTCAGTAGTTGTGGCACACAGGCTCAGTAGTTGTGGCTCGCGGGCTTAGTTGCTCCACGGTATGTGGGATCTTCTTGGACCAGGACTTGAACCCATGTCTCCTGCATTGGCAGGTGGATTCTTAACCACTGTGCCACCAGGGAAGCCCATGGTGTCTAGTTTTACCTGGTACATCCCCTGTGTCACTGCTGAACTTAACTTCACTCATATTCATTTAACTTTCTGTTCCTTTGCTGCTTTCAAATTTATGCCTGACACTGATGCACAAGTCCTGTGAAATCTAACAAGTGAGCCTTTTGCCTTGTTAGTATCCCTAAATCTAATATTTAGTGCAGTCCTGAAAAAGCAGCCCCTTCAAGCTGTGTTTGCATTTCTTTTGTAAGACATTGTGTTTTGTTTTGAACTCTTTGAGCTTAGAGACTTTGTGTTTATCTTTTAGAGATAAAGATGTTGATTGTTTTTTATTCTTTATCCTATTTAAAGGGACATACTTCTTGTAATTAAGTTTTCTGATATAGTATTTGCAGTTCCTTCTCCAAAGCCTCACTGGGTTATTTTAAAATTCTTCTTGCTCCAAGGACTTGTAGAAGAAGTTTAAAAGTGTGAAGAATGTAAAATAGACATTTTTACTTTCAGAAAGGAAGGTGTTCATAGGCTGGAGGGAGAGTGGGTGGCTTCGCTGCGCTCAGTAGCTAGGTGCTGCAGGTGTGCAGTGCGAAAAAGGGAAAAGTTTAAATTTATCCTTTACCATCTTTTCTATGTATAGGTGATAAAGTGCTGTGGCATATGCTTATTTATTTATTGAGACTTAATTCGTATATCATGAAATTCCCTCCTCTGAAGTGTATAATTCAGTGGTTTCTAGTATATTCAGAGTTGTGCAGCCATCACCACTGTCTGATTCCAGAACATTTTCATCACCCCTAAAAGAAACCTGTACCTATTTGCAGTCACTTCCCATTCACCCTCCCCCACCGGTGACAACCACTAATCCACTTTCTGTCTGTGGATTTGCCTGTTATGGGCATTTCATGTAAATGGGATCACACACTAGGTGGCTTTTTGTGGTTGGCTGCTTTCACTTAGCTTACCGTTCTCAAGGTTCACTCATGTTCTGTGTAGCCTGTGTCAGCACTTCACTCCTTTCAGGTTGAATAATTTCTGTTGTGTGGCTCTACCCCGTTTTGTCTGTCCATCCATCAGTTGATGGGTTTGTGAGTTGTCTCTGGTGCTTGCTTCTAGACTTTTTCATTCATGGCTAGTAGGCTGGTGTCTTAATCCCTTCCACCTAACACTTGCTCAGTCGTCTCCGGAGTGTCGCCCACACACAGCCGTCCGGAGGGGCCTGGCTCTCACGTTAAGAGTCCACCCGGCGGATTGCTGGGCGTCGGCGCGGCGCCCGGCAGGTCTGTCTCTGGCCTCCCAGAGGAACTGCAGTGAGAGGTGGCGGAGGCCACTCTGCTCTCAGGACCGATGGTCAGCTCCGTGGTCACGCTGTGAGCCCCTCCTGCCCTCCCGTTCCGGAATCCTCGTGATCAGGATCCTCACGGACCTATTTCCAGAGGGCGTCGAAACTGTGTCTAAAGTGCTTAGTGCAGGAGTGTGGTGGGTGGTGGCCCTTCTCTGGGTGTGTGTCCTGTGGTACAGCTCCGGAGTCCTCCTCTGGGGGCTGAGTGCCCGAGAAACTTGGGGTCCACGCAGATACGGCGAACAAACCTGCTAATAATCTCTTGCCCAAGGCAGGCGAGAGCTTGCTTTGTCTCGTTGCTTTTCGTAAGCTGTTGGAAATCGTTGCAGTTCAGAGGTGAGACACCTGGTGGTTTGTCATGTGCTGTAGAAACGGCTTCCTCTGGTTTCTCCTTTAACCCTAAACCCTGGACTGTTGGAGCTGAAAGTAGTCTGAAACCACAAGAAGGGACTTTGCCTGGAACTGCTGTTGTTCCCACTCAGGTTAAAGGAAGAGCTGTGCCTGGAAGGCCAGTGCGGCTCCCTGTTCACACTTGTTCCAGGCAGCTGAGGTCCAAGGTCACCAGTCTCCACGCAAGTCTGGCTTCCTTCATCACACTGCAGGAGAGGGTGTCCTGAGAGGGATTGGAGTTTTTTTT